TGAATACATGAATTTATAGATGATAAAAATTGAAAATAAATTTATATTAAAAAGGACCCACAAATTCAAGGCCCAATTATCAAAAGGAAAAGATCCAAATAATACTTAAAAATTGACCATACAGAATCCTGCTGACTGTTTCTTTAGAAAAAAATATGTTCACAGAAGGACTTCATGTAGATTCAAAAGGAAGCAATTATGCATTTGCGCCACGCTTACCATTTATGTTTTATAGTTAAAGAAAGAAGAGAGAGAATCATGTAGTCTTGGGGGGAAAATTGTATAGAAGAAGCCAAGAAATGAGAGAAGAGACTAACAGAGGGAAGAAGATACTTTAAAGGGAATAGTTTAATAGACAGAGAAGAGAAAGCTGGAATAACAAAGAAAACCGGATCCCAACTCTATATAAAGAAGAACATTCAAAGAACCAGATACGGGTAAGAAAAAAAATGATTGCTTCCCAATTCAGTGAGCTCTTGGTTGCTGGAAGAAAGTAAAACAAAAGACTAACAGCAATAAGACACACTAACTATGATTTGACTAGAAGCTACTATGTAACAGCTTTACAATTCTAATTTCCTCAAAGCTACTATGTAACAGACTTTACAATTCTAATTTTGTTAAGAGAGAATGATGTAAGAAGAGATTTGGTAGTTCAAAGTAGTATGCACTAAGTTTAAATTAGAATAGAAAAATTTATTTATTTTTACTTTTTATTTTTATTTCCTTGCTTACTTTTTCTTTTTATTTCTTTTGTTTGTTTTGAGACAGAGTCCCACCCTATGCCCTGAGTAGAGTGCAATGGTGTCATAGTTCACTGCAGAAAAGAATAAACACTTCATGTCTTTTCTTCACCTTTCTTCCACCTGTCTTTTTTATACAACCCTTTGCTCCTTAAAAAAACATTCAACCAGGACAAAGAGCATTCACCAAAATTCCTATCTCCTTTGAAAGTTTCTGAAGGACAGAGGAAAACTCAGGTTTTCCCACTTTTGAGAAGATTCTTTCTGGCAAGAGTGGGACATCTTTCCATCTCTGGTGACAAGTTGATGCCTTTGTCTCCTTGCTCTTTCTCAAGCCCCGTTAAGTAGGAAAGGCAATTAATATCAATGCATTGATATCATTGCAGTGCCTTAATGCAATGATTCTTCATTAAAATAATTGGAACATAATGAATAGAAAAAGTTAGAGCACTCATGTAACTGACCCTACTTCTTTCTACATCCGTTTCAACTTCAATAGACCAATTTTAAAAATCTGCAAGTATTGTGGGGTGACCCTCTTCATGTTGCTAAATGTGTAAGTATTTTTCATATGTCTTACCTTCAACAGCAGGCGTCTTTGTTGCTAAAACAGCAACAAGGGCGATAGCTATGATGGTAACAATGACAAAGAGGACAATCAGAGAGATTTCCAATCCACTGAACTTCTTTCTTGCCATCTAATGAAAGAAAAGAACATGTGTTCAAAATGTACAATGTGTAACTGTAATAAATCAATTATCACGAAATTATATTCATTGTTTTTAAGCAAGAACAATGCACACAGTTCTAGCAGTTAATAACCTGAAATAACTTATGTTGACAAAAAAAGTAAGCAACACATGTAATTTTAAGTAAAAAGAATGAATTAGCGGTGCAAGAGGACACGAAAATGAAAATATAGATGGAAAAATGTATTTCCAAGTAGGCATGTTTTACCCTCCCAAGATAGAGCATTTTACAAGTCAAAGACTTCCATTTATATGTTTTTCAATTCTCACAGCACCTCTGTGAAGGAGATGCTGTTATTTACATTTTATTGATTAGGAACTTAAGGAAAAATGATTTTAAAGTTAAAAATTCAGTTTTTTTCTAATTAATCTCTTATTTTTCCAATTCCAGTGCTGCATCCCACAATAATATTGTGGAAAAGAATATATAGACCTGTATACACATTTGGTAGGACAGTATATATTTGAAAGTTGTTGCTCAGTTTAAAGCATTTAGAATTACATTATCAACAATTTCCTCCATGAAACAACAAATAAAATATACCAAACTCTTATATCAAAAGTATACTAGGTTTTTAGATAACAAGATGCATTTAAATTAATGCACAGAAGGTACCCAAATGCAGACTGGGGGGTGACCCTGCTGTAATTATTATGTTAAAGCAGATTTGTTTCATTTGATTTTGACGATGCAGCTTCACCTCCTCCTGGTTTTCACATTATCATGAATTTTTTTTTGGTATTTCATGCTTTTTATGTAAATCTTCATTCATTCAAAGGCATATGTTGAAATAGATATTTAGAATTTTTTTTTTTTTGCATTTTTTTTTTTTTTTTTTTTTGGCCGGGGCTGGGTTTGAACGTGCCACCCCAGCATGTAGGGTCGGCGCCCTACCCCTTTGAGCTACAGGTGCCACCCTGATATTTAGAATTTTTAAGGTAAATGTCTTATTGCTGCTTTTAAACTTTTTCTTTCTTTTATTTTTTTTTGAGGGGGATGCTTAAAATGGTCCTTCCTCCTGTGATTATCTGCATCAGTCCCTGCACCAAATTGTCCCGACCTACAAACTTCTTTTCCCATTCTCATATTTTTCTCCTACATCAATCGCTCATTAAGTTTTTGAATTTTCCTTCAAGGTATTTTTAGACTTATAGTGTCGTCTTTTCCCCACTGCACAGTTTTCTGGAGAGGACTCAGTCCCTCCCCATCTCATCTTCCCCGGGAATTCTGATTGATGAATCTGCTTCAAATGTCATGGCCTTTGTGAGTCTATTCCGCCTTTTAGAGGCAGAGTTAATCTATCATTTCTCATTTCACCCTCCCAGGTAACATGCCTATTGCCATGATTCACATGCATGCCAATTACCTCTATTAGATTGGTACATTTTAACAGCAAGAGAAGTAAGGAAGTAGTTCAAAGACGGCTTTTTAGTGAGCATAAGCTTAATTTTTAATATAGCTTAGGAACAAACGTTTGAAGATTGATTAGCGTTCAAATTTAGCATATAATTTCCTGTTACAGATGTGAAAGCTGTTTATTGCATAGCAATCTTCAAAGAAACTGTAAGCAAAACTTAATCAACAGGTAAATTATAAAGATGTTTGGGAAATAAAACCCAGTTGCCTGATGTTATGTGAAAAATGATATGGTTACACTTAAGGTTCACATTTAAATAAATTTCATTTAAAGCAATATCCTACTTTGGCATCAAGAGGCCAACAACAAAATTTGTGCTTTTTTATTTCTTTAAGGAAAGCCTTAAAAATGCATTATTGCCACAAAAGAAATTCTCTTTTATCTAGAAAAATCAGAACAATATTAATGTACTAAAATTAAATTACTCATATGAGTATTCATCAATAATCAATGCTAAAATTATTTATATGTTGTAAGTGATAATTATAATGATCATTTTGGATCACAGTAATTTTAAGCAAACTTACTTTTGGAAATGTTATATCAATACCCTTTCTCTGAATAGTTTTTATGGAAATGACTAGTACTGCATTAGATGATGGCTTGATAAAAAAAATCTTTACAAGATCTACCAGAAAAAAGTTAATGTATTTTCTTCCTAATAGATTTTCTTAAAGCATATTTGAATATACTTATTCATCTACTTTTCAAGATTTTTTTAGTCCACTCTTCTTCTGTTTAGAGCAATTAAAACCAGTTATTATTTCACCTATGTCTGACAAAAACCATAACAAAGAGCTGGACAAAGAAAATAAGTGTATTCCTTTTCTTTAAAAAGTATAATTTCTTATGTTTTAATACAAAGGACAGACAATATATGTTAAATGGCAGTATAAAATTTATGATTTTTCTGTTTTAAATAAGTGCAGATACACAAAAAAAATTGCCAACATGGATGAAGAAAAGATAATTACTTAGAAATATGAAAACAGTAAAAAATATGAGCCAGAGACTTACCTTATTTCATAGTCTGCTCTGTGTTCTATGCTGCATCTGAGTTAGGTAAAGCTGCCAAAATAATTATCAGGGAAAACTGTGCAGCTATATATCGACCTGCTCATAAAGTTTTATTGCACCCTTACCGGCCTATCAGTATTGAATAATCTTCTGTTCAGCATGCAATTTTTAAAATCCTCAACCCTGAAGGTAGTTTGCATAAACATTTTTCTCTGGGAATCTAAGTTAATTAGTAATGGTGCTATCAGATAGTCCTTGATTTCTAGAGCCTATGAACTGTCTTAGAAACATTATCTTAGGGATTTCAAGTGGTTTTCCCCTTTTAAAAAAGTTACATTTATTTCATTATCTAGATGTTTCCATAATAACTGTTTTGTCTCAGTGTGTGAAATTTAAATTCTACTGGAAAGTAGAAACATACTCAAAAGTTACAATTGTTAAAATATTTGCAGAATCTAATAATTAGACGGTAAATTTCATAAAAAGGAATAATAAAATTTATCCATTGCTTTGTTTTTAACCTTAAAGTTGAGGAACTGACCAAATCTGCAATAATGAAACATAGAAGTAGAGGTATCTGGATAAACAATTCATAAATAAACTCAGAGTTTTAATTTCCTATTTACTATGCATAGCACTGATTGAATTAGCAACGTCATATTGTAAACAATTTCCATTTTACACAGTGAAATTTATAGAATAAATTCAAATCTAGTTTAAGCTAGAATAGTGTTTATGAGCCACAGATTTGATATAAAAGATCTGGGCATTAATGCCAGCTGTATTATATATACCTGAGAAAATATCAGCAAATTTCTTAACTTCTTGAAGACTATGTCTCTTTACCTGTGAAGTGTTAATTGAAATATCAATGCATAGAGCAACTATAAGAATTATCTGGGCCAATGTAGCCTATTATTATTATTATTATTGCTTGTCTACTATCAAAGAGATAGTTCAATTTAACTAGTTCAATATCTGAGTTCTGCACAGAATCTGTAAGCTATCTTTCAAAAATATATATATACCAAAACAATGTAGTCACTTAAAATAGAGCAACTAGTTTAAGGCAA